AGATGTGCATACTGGGCGAATACTATGCGACAAACAGAGCATTAAGGTGCTGTATCAAAGCCCAGAATTCCTGCTTGTACGAGCGATTATACAGGGTACTACACAGTTACTCTTTTCTGCCCATGCGCCGCACACTTCAAGTCCTGCTGGAGTCACCCATGAATTTTGGGATGTCTTTAGAGAACAGATGCTCCGATGGACGGCTGAATGCCCCAGTTTTATCGGGGGGATTGATGCTAATGCACATTTCGAGCATCCAGCGGAGCCACACATAGGCAACTATGGACTGGAAGCAAAGGGAAATCTGGCTGCTGATCTCTTCCGAGATATGCTTATGCAGATTAATGCCTTTTTGCCGAGCACTCATTCTTGGTGCCACACTGGACAAACGGAGACATGGGTTAGTAGTGCAAATGGACAGAGGTCAAGGTGTGACTACCTAGTTGTACCACTAGGGTGGATGTCCGGCCAACTACGCACTTCTTTAACCATGCAGGTTGATTCGGGGAATCAAGGCGAGGACCACCTGCCGTTGGCGGGGAGCTTTCGCGTCCTGTGCTCCAAGATGCAGGCAGTGAAGATTAAGCCAGAATTCGACCGTGACCAAATACATAGGACAGATCGACTCAAAGTTCAACAGGCGTTTGCCGATCCACCGATGATTCCATGGAATGTTGATGTTGATGAACATGCAACCAAGTTGTCTGACTGGGTTGTTGAGCGACTCATGTCAGCCTTCCCTAAGCCAGAAGCGAGAGCCCGAAAAAGCTATATATCGCCTGCGACATGGAAATATAGGCAAACTAGGTTGGATGAGAGATCAAGCTTTCGTGAAGAGAAGAGCATGATGGCAAAGCTCACTTTGTATGCTGCATATCAAGCATGGCACAAGGATAAGCCTTTGAATGCCCTTCTTACTATTGGCAAAGCAATTGCTAAATGCATGCACCTGTGTGTGAAGGGGAGGAAGTTAGCACAGATGGGGAAAGTGCTTTCCAAGCACCTACGTGATGATAGAACTGCGAGTCTAACAGAAATTGCTGCAAGTACTGCTAACATGAGTACTAAGGACCTATATGCGGCCCTCAGGCGCATTGGGATTCAGAGCAGGCGCAAACCGAGCGGCATACAGCCGCTGCCCCTTGTGCGAGATTCAGAAGGGAACCCCTTGAGCACATTTCGCGATTTGGCTAACCGATGGAGAGAGCACTTCGCTGAACAGGAAGATGGGGTGAGCATTTTGCCACAGCAATTCCTAGATGACACAGCAGAGAAGCGCGGACTACCAGTGGTAGTCCCGAATTGGGAACACCTTCCTACGAAGATTGAGATCGAAATGGCATTTCGAAGCACTAGGAGTCACAAAGCATATTTTGATGATTTTGTACCGGGAGACCTCCTTGCGAGAATTCCAGAAGTCATGGCACAAGCATACTATCCTTTGATGCTGAAGCAGGTCATGTTCCAAAGAGAAGCTCTGCTGCATAAAGGAGGGAGATTGATACCCTCATTCAAAAAGGGAGACCCCTCCATTTGCAGCAACTACAGATCATTGTTAATGTCAAGCGTGGTTGGGAAAGCCCTGCATAAGGTCTATAGGCAGGAGCTCAGCCAGACGCTGGAAAACAACCGACTGTCCCTCCAAATTGGAGGCCTGAAGGGTCATTCGATTACGCAGGCATCCCATTGCTTGCATCTGCTCCAAAGGATTGCCCTCCAGCGCAATGAGTCCCTGGCAATCATCTTCGTAGATATCCAGAATGCCTTCTATCGACTGTTGCGTAAGCACATTACGGTTACGCCAGATGACAACAGGACGGTAAGAGAACTTTTTGCCGGACTAGGGCTACCTGCACAAGCGTACAATGAGTTCCAGGAATGCATGAATCAGCCGCCGGCACTAGAATCGGCAGGAGTGTCGCCTTTTCTGCGGACACTGTTCGGAGAGTTTTTCACAGACACATGGTATAAAATCGAAGGTGCAGAGCATTGGACAAAAACACGAAGAGGGAGCAGACCGGGGGACAGTTTTGCCGATGCGTGTTTCGCCTTTGCTCTTTCGAAGATTCTTCGAGACATTGATGCAGATTTAGTAGCAGAGTTCCCATTCATAAGCATCGAATGGAGCGGGCATCATGACCCCTTCGAGCGACATGAAAGACATCAACTAGGGCCCCTTCTGCCGATTTGGGCCGACGACATTTCATTGGCAGTTCGGCACCCCTGTCCTCAAACACTGCTGAGGGAGGCGCCGCGAATCGCGTCGCTTTTGCTGCACCGATTAGCGACAGCGGGATTGAAGCCAAATATGAAAAAGGGGAAGACAGAAATGATCCTCGACCTCAGAGGGCCAAGGTCACTGCCGGCCAGAAGAGCACTCGTTGCGACAGGATATCAACTCCCATTAGAGACAGACTTGATTGAAGACCCGTTGCACATCACGCATGCCTACTGTCACTTGGGCACGACCATCGATTCCAAAGGACGATTTAGTAGGGATTTTCGGCAGAAAATGGCTGTAGCGCACGATGTGATCACTCGCTACAAGGCACAACTTTTCAGCAATCGGGGCCTCGATCTAAAACGCAAGATGCAGCTTTTTGATGCACTGGTGATCAAGGCAATCACTTTCAATAGTGCCTTATGGCAACCACAAACCCCCAAGCAATGGGCGCAGGTTCAAGCTGGCTTTCTGAGATTGTACAGAAGAATCTGCATGTGCCACTTTGGGCCTGGAGCCAAAGAATGGAGTGCCAGTAAAATACATGCGAAGCTCGAAGTTCCACAGGCTGGGGTGATTTTGCGTGCTGCAAGACTAAGGTACTTCTCACAGCTTGTCCGACTGGGACAAGCGCATACATGGGGGCTAATACAAACTGAGCAGAAATGGTATGGCCAGATCTGTTTTGATTTGGAGTGGCTGTCGCGGCAATGCCCAGAAGATGAAGTACCCGGAGGAGGACTTGAAGATTGGCCCAAGCTGTATGATCGCTTGCATTCCCACCAAGGTCAGTGGAAGCGCATGATTCGTAAAGCAGTGAAACGTGACATTGCTTACCACAGACGTAAATTTGAATGGGAAGAATGGCATGCTTGGATCCATGATTACCTCACGCAGGCGGGGGCGTTACCAGTTCGGACATGTGAACAGCCGGAGAAAATGCATTTTTGCTTACTCTGCAAACGGCAGTTTTCAAGTGCTGCGGCCCAAGCGGTCCACTCTTTCAAGATGCACGACCGCCGACAGGCTGCTCGATATTTTGTCACAGGTAGGCAGTGTTTGCACTGCCTAAAGCATTACAACTCCCATGTCTATCTAGTTAACCATGTCAAACGAAGCACAGCGTGCCTCGAATATTATCAGAATGAACCAATCTTGATCGATCCAGAACCGGGCGTAAATAGCCGTGTTGCAGATCGTCTCCAGCAAAGCACCATTGACCCATTCCTCCAAGCAGAAGGGCCGAGGCTTCCTAAGGATGCCAACTCGATTGCCGACCCACATTTGTTTGGTGAAAAGACCAAACTGTGGGATGCCTGGAGTGATGCGCTGCAGACGAGTATGAGTGCAGCCCGAGAACTATGCAGCCTGCTTCGACAGGCTACGTGTGTTACTTTCCTGACTCCGAATGAGATACTTGCCGAATACCAAAGATGGAAGCAAATGATCCTCAGAGATAATGAGGAACTTACACTTCGACAACTCCATGAACTTGCGTGCTTTGCATCTAACTTTGGATTCGCATGGTTTGTGCAAGCACCGATTGTAGAAGATGAGAAAATGCTGAAGGCCAATTTGTTTTTTGACCGTGAAGCGGCTTCAAATGCACCATTTGCCTTTGTGCGTTACAAACTGCCACAATATAGGCCAGTGCTGTTCGCACATTTTTTCTCAGGAAGAAGAAGAAATGATGATTTTCAGATGTGCCTTGATGCCTTAGGCATGCAAGCCATATCGATCGACATCATATACCACGCCGAGGCTGGTGATCTATGCAACCCCGCCACATTCGATCTCTTTCGAAGAGCCATAGAGCAGGGCATAGTCTGTGGGTTCCTAGCAGGACCCCCCTGCGAAACGTGGAGCCGAGCGAGGGGGAAGCAACTGGCCAGCGGCGAACATGGACCGCGAGTGGTTCGATCCAACGAGTCACCTTTTGGTCGACGATGCTTGACACTCCGTGAGGATGTACAGGTCAGCTTCGGAAGCCGACTCCTAGGTGTGACAATGAGATTGTTCTGCGTGGCACTTGTGAATGGGGCAACAGCCATCGTTGAGCACCCGGCACCGGACGAGCAGAGGCCAGATGAAGTGGCAATCTGGCGAACGGCCCTGATTCGGACGCTGCTTAGGTTCCCAAGATGCTCACAGCAAAGGGTCCTTCAGGGGCACTATGGTGCCAGGTCAGCAAAACCTACCTGTCTTTTGCTGGCCAACTGCGACGAATCTGCAGAGCAGATCTTGTTGAGTGCGAGAAGCACTGCACTCCCGCAGGAGGTCAGTATAGGAAAAACTAATGAAGGCGGTTGGAAGACTGCTATTTTAAAAGAGTACCCCGCTGGTTTTTGTAAAGCACTGGCGGCGGTTGCAGCAGTTAGCCAACCCGCTGAGCCGAAATCTGATCCCATACCTACCTGGTTTATGGAGAAGATCGAACCTTTGCTTGCTTGTTTCAACGAGGAAGCTGAAATGGGACCAGATTTCGGGAACCAACAACGAACGCATGAGTAATTAATAATTAGATGCAGTGCTGCTACAGACAGATGTCTAAGGCGTGTGCAGTAAAAAAAAAAAGTCCTGAATGGGCCTTGGCAAAAAAGTATGCGGTTCTGAACACCTGGATCTTGCCACTGTAAAGCGGCATGTGAAACCTGCCCAGCAAAAACAACTTCCGTGAGGATGGATCATCATGCGACATCCTCCAACCCGAACTCCCACATTGGCACCACCAACCAGCTGTGACACCTGCCCAATCAGGCCAAACAACATCACTGGTCGCCTCCTTGATGCACCAACGCGCCACATGGCCCAAGGTCGTTGGTCCCTCTTGTGCGGCAGGAGATCCGTCGGAGGTGGTCGGCGACAAGATCGGAGAGCTCGGGCTGGAGCCTCCTGTGGGATGGGTTTCAGCAAAGGCAAAAGGAGTGGATTGAGCTTGGAGCAAGCCCAACTTTGTGGTTAGCATTGGCGTGTGACTGGATGAAGCTTAGGGAAGCAGAGTCGAACAAGATTGATATCCAAACAAAACGTTCAGTGTCACTCCATAATGATCAGCTGGATATCAGTTGGTTGTCTTTGCACCCTGAAGCCACCAACATCATCCAACATCTATAATTATACAGGATTCCAATTAAGATCAATTAAGAATTTGGGTGTTTGCTTGTAAAACCACAGGCCAAATAGGCCATAGACCCTGCAGGCCCAGTCGAAAATCCTCCTGCCACCTCCCCATGCACAACCTCGTCATCCGTCAGAACGGGCGTCTCCTCCGCCTGGGGATCCTTCGGAATGACGGCCCCGCGCCCCGAAGACGAGGAAGGCTTGCTGACCTGAGAACGGGAGGAAAGGCTGACCGACCTGGAATGGGGGGAGAACTATTGGAGAACTGAAACAGAACATCCGAACGGCAGTAGAAGCTGCCACTGCTGCCAGATTCTGACTGCTGCCAGGGTTCCTATTTGCAACGAAAGCTCTCAGGTTCTTTTTTCCTTTGCCATTGCCCTTTTTCGGACTTGAGTACTCTTGGGTCATGGCAGTGGAAGTCAGCTATGTCCTGAGGTGAGAAGATCCCTGTAGGAGACTGGTGGGGCCAATCCAAAGCCATCAAGATTTTAACGAATTTCGAAACCTTTCAGGTCAAACATCTTAGGAATCTGATGGTCGCCCTTAGTCTTTGTCTAACTCTTCTGCTTTCACCCAACCTTTCCACACCTCCTTTCACCGTCCTCCACGCATCAACCACAAGCTCCACAGCCGCATCCACCCGCTTCCACCCGCTCCTCCACCCCCTCCCGCCAAGCGGCGGAAGCGGCACTGCTGCGCGGCCTCGCTCAAGTCGTCGCCGTGGACGTCCGCGGACTCGTCCAGCTCGGTGGGGATCACCGCGTACTCCACCTGCCGAGGGGCGGCGCGGCCGGTGAGCTGGCGCAGCTGTCCGCGCAGAGCGATGCGCGCCGAGAAGGAGCCGAGAAGCCAAGGTTTGCGGCGGCCGACGGTGGAGGGACTTGCGGTGGAGGGCGGTGGATTGAGGTTTGTGGCGGCCGTGGGGGAGGATGTGGGGAGGCGAGAGGGTTGGAGATGGTTGGAGTGGAGGGACATGGTCGGATGAAAAGAAAGTAGCGCTTTCTTTATAGGATGTTGGTAGGTGGAATGAACGTGGTGGATATGGGCGATGGTGATGGACCTGGTGTAAAATGTCCGTCATGGACAGTTTGTTGACTTGGAGTTCAGGTGTGTGATACACAATGTGATATAGTTGGGGTTCAATTTATGGTGATAATCCGTAATGATCTCAGTTGGTGGACACAATGTCGCCGCAGGAATTCATAAACTTCAAGTTGCAACTGTTTCCTGTGCTGAAGCTTAGAGCACCGTACCCCAAACAAGCACCTTGCAAAAACCAAAGGTTGTGCACAGTTTGCGCGCCGGGGTTGGCATGATCAATCTGCGGGGCCCTTGGTTTGTGCGCCCCTGAGCAAAACAACCAAAAACACACACACACACACCCTCCAGGACTATCCAATGGGTAGCAATCCAAATTGCTGAGTAGTGTATTAGTATAGTAGCGTAGGGTACTCCATTGGACACCCGTTGGATGGGTCCTGGCTAGCAACACCTGCAACCTGGCAAACCTGCTGACATCAAAATGAATTGAAAACCTGCGCCCTGGTCAGCCCAAGCGGCCTTCTTATCCCGCATCACCGCTTGGAGTTGGTCTGTACACATCCTGCGTCCGTCTTGGCGGGACGAGCTCGTGGTGGCAAGTGGTCCCTCGAACTCCAAGAACTTCTCAGCGTCCCTATAGACATAAGCCTATGCATAAAACAAGGGAATCACTTGGAATCACACACATTCCACAAATTAGGGAATGCTCCACCTCCATGTTTCTTGAAAGGAAGTATGATATTATAGGACAAAAGGCAAATGTTTGGGCCACGAGGACTGCATCTGAGACAGCACACTGCAATCGTACCAAATCGCTAATCAACTGCCCGAATCTGGCATTGGAACTTTTGGGTTGTGAAAGGTCCTCCACCTCCATGACCCAGTCATGCCATCTACACCACGAGTCGAGTGGACTGAACCAGGTTCAAGACTGAAGGGTGGATTGAATAAGAAACGGACATCAATTGAAATCCCTAACCCCTAATACTGACTGTCCAGTGGTGTTGGCTCTTGATGAAGAAACCCATGTAGGATCGACATGACAAATCCAAATCCCAAAGCCATCACACAATTCTTAAAGCAAAAGGCCAACTCTAAGCTCCAACCCCCCTTGAACAAACGGAAAGAAAAACAAACACACGTATAGAGTCTGTATAGCCCTTGGATTCACCCAACACACTACCCAACACACTCGAACTCCGCAGCTCCCGGTCTTCTGCCGGGTCACGGAAGAGCACCCCCACCCCGACCACGGGAACCCGACGGCCTCTCCAATGGCTCAGTGAATTCGCTCGGCCCGAAGACCCGGCAAACGATCTCATCCTGCCAAGACCCGGTTAGCAAAGCGAGAGCACGTCGATGAGATGGGGTGTGCAACTTGCTATGGTGTGTTTTTGTTCCTTAAAATTCGTTACGTGTTTCTTAGGAGTTGGGAAAGATAACTATTTTCGTTGATGTTGGTGGGTGTTTTCGGATGTTTTCTTCGTTGAGTTTCTCTAAATATGAAAAAAACACAGAAAAAAACTTGACACAACGGCGCCTTGTCGGGCCGTGCCCACGTGGCGCACAGCTGCAAGGCATATTGCGAGTGCAAGCTGCCGTCCACGGCCTCCAGTCGTCGTCTTTGGTCGTCTTCCGGGGGTTCCACGAGGCGAAAACGTGACCCGTCTTGCGGAGTCTTGCGGCTTTTCGGCGATCGAATGGGATCCTCAGTTCAGGCAAACACTTTGGTTTCAACACTACAACCGTAACGAAAACCATGGTTGCAGAATTTGCATACAAACGTATATACAGAATTTGCATATAAGAATGGGTTGCTGAGGGCATATTGAACATGATCTCAGCACTTGACCTGATGGTCGTTCCACTTCATGCTAAGTCTTTTGTGCAAGAACCCGTGTTTTGAACGAAGCCTTCCCAAAACAAACAAACAACTCTCTTTCCCAATCGTCTTGTGCCAAGAAAATCATACTTCCCCAAGTCAAACTTTCCCAAAACTTCCCCCACTGCCTTCCTCTTCCATCCCACGGGATCGAACACTTCCCGCTTTCGCCAGGAGACCACCATGAAAACGGTCGCCAGCTTCGTGTCCACGCGGCAGCCCGGGCGGATCAAGACCACCGAGCACGGGGCCTGGAGAGCGGACCGCGGTCAGCGGAGGGTGGTCCGAAGTGCGGCGAGAAGTGGAGTTGGTGGTTCGCTTCGTGGAGGTTCATGACATCGGTTTCCACATTGATGAAAACCGAAGATGTGAAGAGCCGGTGAACTGCGGTGAACTGGACGGTTCGACGTAGCTTGTGTGAATGGGTTTCGGGGAAGCAATGTTTAACTTACCACTTCAACCACAAACAAGCCCACGGCCTAAACAGTGACTGTGACCATTGATCCAAAGACACCCCGCCTCGAGAGCTGCCAAATGGGCGCTGGAGCCCAAGGTGGTTCGCTGGAAACAGTTGGAGCGTCCCGCCTGTGATGTCTGCCGCGTTCTGCCGTCTTCCGGAAGCGGTTAGTGCGCGGGCCCGTTGTGGGGAATGAGCTGGTAAGCCGATGGTGGTTTCCTGGTGGCTATCCATTGCTGTGGAGTAGTTCTCTAACTACGACCTCTCCTCCACCAAGGTGTACTAACATTTTGCTGACATGGCTGTGGGGATGTGCGGGGCGTCAGACTTTGCAGTGGCAGGGATGCTAGGATGGATTCTATTAGCTTTCGGATGTTTTCGGCATAGATGGTGCAAAGTGAGTTGGTAATCTACACTAGAACTATGAGCCTGTGAGAGACTGTAGAATTAACAGAAGGGATTGGGATGGATTAGCGGTTCGTAGTCCTTTAGGTTGGGGGCAGTCGAACTGACCGTCAGTCCTTGTAGCCACAACTTCCCATGACCTCGGGAGGTGCGAAGAACCCTCACACCATGATCTCTCGTTTTCATCTCTGGCACTGGAGACAGCTACACAACACAGTGCCCATGTTTTCTATTTAACTCCTGAAGCTCCGTAGAGCTCAAAACCACACTGCTGGATTCTCTGTTTCATCATGTGTGGAACATCAGGCGTCAAACCCAGCGGCCAAAACATCCGCATTGGTGACCGCCGCAAAGTTCACGATCATGCCTCGATTGAACTGCAGGTCGCTGGTTGCGGCGCGCAATGAATTCAGACGTCTCAACACCAGCCTGTCATAGACCACAAAGGATCATAACGACATGCAACATCGCAACATATCACAAAAGATTCGCAACTGGCAACGATCCTTTCATTGGTTCCCCACCATCACTCACTCCTCCCTTCTTCTCTTCTTCGTCCTTTCTTTTTTGAATACATAAACAATTATATAAGTTATATAAGTGAAAAAAAAACGCAACGCCGACGCCCACGCATGCCCCGACCCCCCTGAAGTGGATGAAGACCTCCCTTCTGACCAAGCAGGACGAACCATAGAACATGATAGAACAATAGATAGGTAGATAGATAGAGAGATAGATGTATATAGGTCAATCCAACCTACGATATATTTAGTGAATTTAGTGGAAGTGTTTGCCAAATGTCAGGCTTTGAGAGGTTGCTTGGATAAGCCACTTCTTCCACTGTTCAAGTGTCAAACTCTGGAGTTCCTTAGGTTTAGCCACTCTCTCCAAGTTCTGGTTTATCTAGAAGTCAAACTCTGAAGTTTCCCGTCTCTCGATACTTGGTTCTGGGTATCATTGATACTTGGATACTGGTATTTGGGTATCATTGACACTTGGTTCTGGGTATCATTGATACTTGGATGCTGGTATCGGGGTATCATTGATACTTGGATCTGGATACCGTTGATACTTGGATACTGGTATCGGGGTATCATTGATACTTGGTTCTGGGAATCGTTGATACTTGGATACTGGTATCTGGGTGTAATTCAAGCTAGGCTCTGGGTATCGTTGATACTTGGATATTGGTATCGGGGTATCATTGATACTAGGCTTGGGTATCTGCGGATATGCATGCAATGTGTGAAAATTACTCTTGGATGACTCACCCACAAAACATTTCAAGCGCCACAGTTCTTTTCACGGTCGAAGCCCACATGTATCCTGCATCCCTCAACTTACGCTCATCCTCTTGAAGGAGCTTGGCGACGAAATGCCAATGCTTCAAAGCCACTCTTACATTGGTTGTACTTCTCAGGACGCAGTCTGCTGGCTCCTCACGAAGAAGCTTCAACTCCATGTTGGTCTCTTCGTCGCTCTCTGCGAGATACCCCATGGGTCCTGCCTCTGCCACCTTAAGGAGATAGTCCTTCACTTCCTGGTCATCCAATTTCTTTTGAATTGGTTGCACCCTCCGCTTGTACCACTTCTCAGCCTGCTTGATCACCGCATCCGCGCCATTCTGACCTTCTCTGCAGACGTTTTCCAGTATCTTACCCAAGGCGCAGAAGTTGCCCCCTGCGCGGATGTAGTATAGTGCTTCAACACCTGCTCGATGTCCTCGTCGGCAAGAACCTTGCTCAGCGTCCGGAAGTCGTTTCCCTGCTTCGCGATCTCCTTGACCACAGACGAGAAGTCTTCGAAAGGTAGGGGTCGCACCACAACCAGCCTTGACTTGTCAAACCTTTCTTCGACGATGTCCGCCACCGCAGACACGCTGACCTCCAAAATGAACTTGCACGCGGCATTGCCGTAGGTGATGTTGCGAGCGAAGGCACCGAGGGTGGAAGCAAGGTCATCAAAGGCATCCCTACTAAAATTGTCTCCGCGGCTTGTGGTTGTGAGTTGCAGGTACACCACTTGTTCTGGGTAGTATCGCGGCAGATTTACTGCTTGCAATGCTTTGCGCAGCGCTTCATTGAGCTTCAAGTCCTCGGACGGCTTGACATCTTGAGCGGAAGCAGCATGGTTGATTTCCCAATGCCTTGGAAACCACTGACCACCAAGAATGAGGGTGTGCTCAAAGCTTTAGTTGAGGTGAGTTGATGAAGTCCTTGATGTATTCCTCCTCGAGCGGCCGTGCAGGATCGGGCTCTGTCCTTTCCAGCCTTTGCCCAGCCTTCCTCCGCCGGAAAAGCCCTCGCGGTTGCGTTCGTGCATGACCGCTTGGAAGGACGAACCGGCCTGGCGCAAGCTGAACCTGCCTCACAAAGATGCATCTGCAGAATGTCAAAGAAAAAGGACAATACATCGGTTCTTCAGTTTTGTGCCAAACTGATAGAACAACTTGGTAGAATTTGAAGAACAACTTGGTAGAACAACTTGGTAGAATTTGAAGAACAACTTGGTAGAAAAATTGAACCTGAACCTACACTTAGAAACTCTGACCACCTCAACAAGTATCCCCTTCATTCAATCCAAACAATTAAGTGAAAGTTACGACCCTAAAACGCGCATAACAAGACCCCTGAAAAACGACAAAGGCTCAACACAAATTTTCAAGAGCCAAGACAATTTAACGAGGTGATTGATGAACAAGAACTCCGCAGAACCCCCATTTTACAATTTTTTTGGGAGACCCCCCTTCCGGGTAGATACCCAGGTATGGCCGGGTATGGCCATTCCATAAAGTGGCATGGAAAACATTCGCAACGCTTCCATTGCAAAGGCGCGAGAAATCTTGATGGCCTCGGCCTTCTCCTGGCGGCATTGTGAGTGGGTTTTGAGAAGCTAAAGGGATCATCACAACAAAGGAAGGCAATTCACATACGGCTTTGGTGCGGATCAAAGACCCTCAACTGACAACATTCCTGAACATCGGTCACCAAATCCAGCAAATTCCAGCCGCGCCATGGACTTCTAGAGCTGCCAGCTTCTTTATATATCCACAGCCCAATGGGCCAATGGTCTACAGGACCTTTCATGAGACCAAGCACAAGCTCCTTCTGGTGCACGGTCATGAGCATCTTGCCATGGCAACTGTCAACCTGCAAAAGAGTCCAACTCCAACCCCCTACTTCTTGTGGGGACTGTGCAGGATTTCTCAATCCCCAAACATGGCCCAAGGCACTTGCATCCTGAAGCGCATTTGCCCCAGCTAGCACGGCTTGCAAAGCAAAGCCAGTCAGGTAAACTGTTAGGTCGACACAAGTTGGTACTGTGGAGCACCAACCGGTGCTGCTTGGGGAAGACAGTCAAGGAACTAAGCAAGGCAAGGGGAGGCCCTTACTCTCTACTTGGCTGCTCTCAGCTTGGCCGCTGGAAGTTTAACCTTTAGGGTCCAAAAAATACGAAAAAAACATGTTTTCGAAAAAGGGTGAGCACACCAATGCCATCCTGATTCCCAGCTACACGTCACACACAGATAGAACATCGTCTTTCCTGAGCCTGGAAGTTTAAAGTGCCAAGGTGGAAAAGAACGGCCAACTGCCGATGGACCCCGTCAAATATTTTCCCTGTTCGCTTGCGTTTGCTGGCGATGTTGGTAGGAAGTACGGGCAGAAAACACTCAATCTCAATAATGAATTGACAATTTTGCATTTGGGATGGGGTCATGCTTGTATCTTCCAAATTTGGCGATGGGCTCAAGCCAAATATCAATCAAACTTGAGGCCGAGGGTAGGTGACGAAAGCTAGCAGGGGTGCATCCGGACTGGTGGGACATCAAGCGGAGTGAGGCAAATGCTCATGAGGTTGTGAACATGTAAGACACACAAACAGCAATGACACAGCCAACCTTAGAATTGAAGTCCCCGATAATTAAGGAAGCGTGGCTGGACTTTGCCACACTGTTCGATGCATCCGATGTGTTCACGAACCTGTGAGCTTGTTGAATCTGTTGCGCTGTATCCCAAAACCTCCACGGAGGAGTTGAACCAGTGTGGATGCCATAAGAGGTGCCCAAGAGGTGTCCCAGAGGCAAAACAAAGCTGCTTGCATGATTTGTTTGGTTTCTTCTATCGATGTCGATGTCATGAACATGTGAGCTTGTTGAATCTGCTGTTGGATCGTCATGTATATGTAATGAGGGACTGAAGAAAAGCAACGCAGCATCATGAGCATCACGGGAAGTCACAAACCAGGCGTATCAGATACACCTGGCTTATGTATGTTTGTTTGAGCATCTTTGTCGAGTGAAGTGTCAGCCATATGCACTGAGATGCCGAAGGAAGCTCAAAGGCACGTGTATCTGATACGCCTGGTTTCTGACTTCCCGTGATGCTCATCATTGAAGCCTTGAACCCTCGCGTAAATTTCATGTTTCATGCCCCCCCTTCCAAACTCAAACAGTGGCCTACTTCACCTGCCACCTAAACATAGCACTATAGCACGTACCGGAAGCGTCCCAGGGGGGAGTTGAACCCGCGGGGGGGAGGGGGGGGGGGGCCCCCCTACACGTGAAGTTTTCACGTGATTCATGATTCTCGAGGCTGCGAGCCCTTGACTTGCTAAAGCAAGAGCAACTCCAGCTAGCTGATGCTAGCTTTCGTGATAAAGCAACCTTGCAGAATGCCTCACCAAGCGTACGTAACAACGTCTGATAGACCTGAGAGTAAACAAATGTGAACAAAAAGTCTAAGATCCTAAGGGACCACCTGAGGACAGCCAAGTCTAGGAGGATGGGGCTGTTGGACCAAATCCTCCAGGCTCCAGGGAAGCAACAAATGACAAAGGGAGAGAAACTCCTCTTTCTTGGGTGGTATGAGTTTTGCTCCGTCAACCACGCGTTGCTGCATGGTGGACTGTGGATAATTAGTCACCTGGGTCTTTCTTCCGCGATGGATGGGACCATATGGAGCAGCTTCCTGCCTTGCCCAAGCTCCACGACACTCACCGGTCCATTCAGCGTCCATTCCACCGCTCACCGGTCACCGTGGTTTCGAGGGTCTGACTTGGTCAGACAGCAGTGGAGGTCTGCCATTTCAGAGCTCAGGAGTGTCGCGCTTGGTCCTCCTGCACCTCCTGAAATTGGGTGGGAAGTTCAGCCAGTCCGATTCTCAAAAACTAGTCAAACAGTTATATACTAAATGATAGTCTAAATGATATAGGCCCAAGCAAATTTACCCAAATTGGGAAGTAGACATCAACCATATAATGAATTAGTAGAGGGGTTCTTTCAATAAACACAGTTGCGACGTTTAGATGTCAATCGCATTTCACGTTCACGTTTGAGCATTTCATCTGGACAGCACGTTCACGTGACACGTTCAATATTGGATTGACATTGACACTGACATCATGGACCAGGGCAGGAAAAAAGTTCCAACACATTCCAAAACTACACACTGCAATCACTGCAATCATTCCCAAATCATCCCTGCACCTCAATAGCCCATACATGCCTATATAGATGCCTATATTATAGTGTCCTCCTCTATGAGCGCCATCTCTTCGAGATCCGCTGCATGGCTGGCGGCTTCTAACACTCGAAGCCGATGCCCCGCCATCTGCGCGTGGCGCAGCGCAGTGCTTCCCAGCATGTCAGCTGCCTGGACCGATGCCTTCTGCGCCAAAAGCAGCCTCGGAGAGGAGCCCCAAAGTTCCTCCGAAGAGTCGGGAGACTGGGGAAATCACCGCTTCTGTCCTTGGACTGTAGCTTGTCATCATGGGCGAACGGAACGTAATTATTAAGGAAGAAGTCCAGCAATGCGTGGGTGATTTAACTTCCCAACATCAAAAACATACAAAGTAGGAACCGCATGGCCACATCCATCCACCTCCTTCGGTGATTCGGCGATGCCTCTCTGTCTAAAACTCCAAGGGTTCGAAAACAGGTCATGGACGAAAACATTCATCATCGGTGGCACCCACTTTCCATTTATGGGCAATCCATACAAGAATAAATGAATCCACCACACAGAACAAACCTGGACTGATTTCACTACGTGTCCCTTGCTTACAGATTGCTGCTTGACTCTGTGAGCGGTCTATCAACTGCCCTTGCCTGTTTGGTGATTTCATGATTTTACGTGTCTTCTCACTTCTCCAGCAATTCCAATCCTACTTACTTTTTAATCAACCTTAGGCTTGTGCAGCTCCTTAATCCCACCACACCACGAACTCCGCACAAGCGACTCCACCAACGGCTCGTGCCCCGCCCGCGCGGCGCAAATCAGCGGCGTCCAGCGATCGCGGTCGGCCGAGTCCACCTTGGCCTTGCGCTCCAGCCTCGGAAGCTTTGGACGGACGAGGTAGAAGTGAATCCAACTGGCTCCTTTCTTGCGGGGAAAGAGTCCATCCCATGAACCCCCATTGTTATCCATTGTTGCATTGTGAATGCTCAGGGGTGTTTCTCTCGTGACCATTAAGCAAGCCTGGCTTGCCGTGTGCATCTGCCAAAAGGCAAGGACGTCGCTCAAAAACAACGCCAGCACCACCACTAGACCACGGTGGTGCATCTGTTTTGGAATGTTTTGGACACCAAGTTGCAGCAGCTCTGCGACCGGCAAATGACCTCCCAAAGCTCGCGGGTATGTGAACCCATGTTTGGATTCTATAAACACCGAAAACAACAAGCATCATTGAATTGCCATGACTGGGGTTGTTCATCAGAATTAACTTTAAGACTTTGTGGCTGTGGTATATCTTGAAGCCACCATTTTAATTTTCAGGAGGAATAAAAATGATTTTGTGTTGATTTGGAAAATTGATTGTTGATTGTGTTTCTCAGGGGGCAGTGAACTCACATACTGCTTTTGCAATCATGCTTAGATACGTGTGTGCGTGTGTGTGTGGGTTTCTTTTTTTGCGAAATCTCTCTATAGCGATGTAGCCTTCCAGCAATGGGTTTGTTGAGGTGAGTGCACACCAGTAGGTATTTCTGTTCAATTTGTCATTTGCCGATGATGGGTGAGTAAGCGGAATTATATAACTGGGGTTGGTCAAAATGGCTGGTTCAAATTCTACAGTTCTACTTGCTCACCAGTCAAGAAACACTTGTTGGGAAAACCTGCAAGCTTCATGTTGAAAAACAAATCCTTCCACTAGCCGCTAGCCACTAACCACTACTAGCCCACGCTAGCTAGCCCCTAATGGCCTGCCTGAAGCCTTAATCATTCATATATAGATTAGCTTAGATGTAGAACACAAAGGCATCAAAATTGGCCAGCAATTGGAAAGAGAAATCAGAATGCAGCAATGATTCAACGAGGACTCAATCAAATCACGTTTTTCCTCACTGCGTCCAGAATAATCTAGGTCGGTTCACAGGAAGACAGTCGCGCATACCCCAAAATGCAACTGTCAATCCACTCACTGCACAGAGTCACTTTTTCAGGTGACCCTTCTTCACACACTTCACTGAATTCTTAAAGAAATCAGTGATCTTGAGTTGAGACGTCTTTAGGTTCAGATGATTGAAACCAGTGGCCAACTCACCCAAACTCGACTCACTGCCAGCTGCCACCGAAGCCCTGCTGCTCTCTTCCATGCCATCCATCGATTCAGACTTGGACATTGGGCTATCAAAATACTGAGCATTCTGCCGTGCAAGGGGTCGGATAGGCGAACTTGGGGTTGGAGTTGGACTTGGACCCAATGCCAAAGTATCTGGAGGAGTTGCAGAAGGCGAAGCCAAGGCCCTCGAGGCATATTGAGGCCCAATACCAATCCAGCCAGAAAGCTGCAAAGTATTGCCCGTGAAGCCCATGCGGAGAGCGATGCGAGCAGGGTTCATCTGAGGTGGCTGCGGCTGCTGAGGCTGAAGCCCAAAGCTGTTCTGCTCAGAAGAGTTTGCATTCGCAGCCGACATGGCAACAAATGGCAACAGTCTGACAAGACGGTGTTCGATCAAATCAAACTTCGAACCAACAGTGCTTCAAAATCAGAAATTAAGTAGGCTGCACAACCCAGTCTCTGTCTCTGGAATGCGTTGCTAGTAACTAGTTACTAGTTACAGTACTCAAGTTACAAACAGCAGACTCAGCAGTCCAACAAATGGACATTCTGTTACAGGTACTACTACAGAGGTTTACGTCAAGAGAAATCT